AGATGTTTTTATCTAACTCCATGATATTCTGTTGTTTTAATTCAAATAGATACTTGCGAATTCCTGCAGCAATAACAGGAACTGGGATATCGTAGGTGAACAGGATGTAGGAGATAGCCAAGAAGTCCATATAACTCCTGTGATTGGGCATCAGGATCACGGGACTCTCCTGAACGGCTTGTTGGAGCTGCAAGGGACGGAAGTCAAATACTGTATCAACAGCAGGCTTCTGGTATAGTAGTCTGAGGAGCAACACTTGTGTGCAGATTTTCAGAAAACATATGAATATAAATATATCTCAACTAACCTTTTTGTCAGTTACAGTCTTAATCTCAGAGCAGATTTGTCAAAATTGTTCTTACTTTAAGACAACTTGCCATTATTTAATGTATTTAAACACACATTTAAATGTACTGAAACATTTTATTGTTTACATTAATTACATATAACTGCTGAACAGACCCTGGTAAATATGGCAGTCATTTGCTTAGAGTCAGATAAGAAGATTGATACCACTCTCATATTTGTACAGTAAATATGAAGCTACAGCCAGCGGTCACCTAGCTTAGCACAAAGACAGGAAACAGGGGGAAACGGCTAGCCTGGCTTTGTTGTAAAACCACAACCTGTTGCTTTTACACTTTGGGTTTTGTACAGATTAAACAAATGAAATATAACTTTTTTAATAAATTTCCGTTTACTTATTTATTTGTCTATATATTTATGTTGTGCATATTATTATTAATATTATGTTTTATCCCCTTTTTTCTATATATATTTACATTTAAATCCTTTTCCTTTTATAGCTGCTTATTTTGTGTGGGAGGGTGTTTTAATGTGTGAAGCACTTTGTGTTACAATTTGCTTGTATAAAAAGTGCTATACAAATAAAAGTCGTATTAATTGATTGATTGATTGATTGATTGATACCATGCTAATTAGTGAGCTCAGAGGTGTAAGTAGGCAGACTTTGTTACGTACAGACAGAGCTAGGGTTGCTGTTTAATCAGACAAACACAGATAGAGACAGATATCTCAGAACCCGTTAAGATTCAGTGCCTATGTATGTTAAAATGCCTAACAATTACATAGAAGCTGCTCTCAAACTCTAAGAAACTGGTGCATATACTGTAATGTGCCGCTGTTCTGAATACAGTATTGATTAGTCGTGTGGTCCTGACCATGTTGAGTCCTTCCATGTTGACCAAGATGCTGGTGAAGAGTCTCTTGAACACCTTGTTGAGGGTGTAGGCCATCAGCCTGATAAACCCCAGCTGCAGGTTTTGAGACATTTCCTCCAAAATCCCACACGCCTCCTCTCTCACCTCCTCCACAGATGACCCCGTCTCCATGGCGATCTGAGGAGGAATGCAGGAAAAAGACTCAAAGTCCATGGAAGGAACAATGTGAAACTTCTTTGTTACATCTTTTCAAATCACACCATCCCACCTCCTTGGCCATGTAGCTTAGATACTGGGACTCCAGCACGGCTTTGTTGAGGTCAGCCGTGGAGCAGGACGGGGCCCCTTTGTAGGGGTGGGGGTTGAAGGTCCTGAAGGCATAGCCAAGATCACTGCTGCGCCTCCTCTCCTCCAATATATCTACAAACTCCTCATCATCTTCCAGGCCTGCTCTGCCTGAATCCCTATACTGGGAGGAGGAAGACATGCTTATGTTAAACAGATGTTTGACACCTTAAATAGAATATAAAAGAACAGAATAGGAACATGGCCAATCAACTACACGGTGGGACTCAGGTATGTGAGAGGAAAGCAAGAGAAAGAAGAAGTGGGTCAATTAAGCAGGACCTACGCAAAAAAACTCACACAATGTGAAACAAACATTGTCGAAAGCTGTCGGCCATTAAAATCTAAAGCCCCCCATCCACTCATAAATGTATTTTGTGCATGACTATGTAATTTGTATGTTGGACACCAGAAAGCTGTTTTCACATTCATCTGCTGAAGTTTTTAATCTCTGTACTGAACTTAAATCTTAAAGCTTCATCACTGGAAGCCAATCACAGTCCAATATGCATTTTATAGGAGTGATTTCAAAACCTGAACATGAACGGTGAGAATGGACTGAAGTCGGAGACATCTTGTGTCCAGCGGTTAAACCTTTTGTGGAAAACATTTGCATATTCACTGATTCGGGGTTTTTTTAAGGAGAGAGGGAGTAGATGTGGGCCTAAAAAGTTTTACAAGGTAATAGAGCTTATTTTTATATATTTTTTAAAACCTATATCAGACACAAATCATTACTCCAAACAGAGTACCAGTATATGTCTTGTTATGTGTATATGTTATATGACTATTGCACAAACTGTACAGCTTCCATTTAAAAAGGGCCATATACATATTGTTTTTTATTGTATTTAAATGTTTTCATGTTATTGTCAGTTTTTTATTTAGGATTTCGACCTGCAGCACTTGCTTTCATCCTTACTATGTTTATTGTTATGCACCAATATACCAAGGCACAATTCCTTGTATGTGAGAACCTACTTTTTCATTCTTAAAACATCTTAAAACGTGTCTGAAAGGGTTCTTTAAACACCCAGGAGGTTCTCCTCCAGTTATAGACAGAAACAACACACTGACCATTGCCTGCACTATCTTTTGTTTCGCACTATGGACCGCTGATGTTGTTTAACAGCCTATTGAGCAACATAAATAGTTTCTAAGTAGGCCAAAGTTTCTGCAGCTGATACCGTCGAACAGCTCTGTGCGCACTATTTACAGCTAAACACCGGGCTCAGCGTGAAACTGAACGTGACAGCGGCAAACACATCCAATGCATCTCTCTCATTCAGTCTCGATGTCAGCACACACTTTATAATTTATACCCGCTGTTCACTTTTAAAGCGTTTGAGCTGAGCCGGCACTGTGCGCAGGGACAGGGCGCAACAAGTGTTCACGATGAAAAAACACACTCATTTTAAAAAGCTGCTTACCGTGTCCGTCATTCTTCACAGCAACACACACACACACACACAAACAAACAAACGACCCTTGCAGGTGGTTGTCCTCATCGACTTTCGTTTTCCGTACTCGAAAGCTGCCTTCGATACACTCTGCGTAGAGTGCAGCACCCCGGGGCGCAGGCCAATGGTGTCGCTGGGTTTTGGAAACTCCTCCCGCATGTTGTATGTGCAATGTGCAGCTCTGTGCTCTCTAACAACGCGGCAGTGCGTGATGGTGGATGTAGCAAAGTGAAACAGCTGAGTTTTGCTGCTTGGCACTGATACAGAGAAGTTTATCTGAACAAGCAGATGCCTGACACTCTGTCTGCACATTGTTATTAATTATACTTTTACTCATAAAAAATGTCATTTTAGTGCAGTGTGTAGTCACTGGTGGATTCAGTGTCCCCATGTTTGAAAAAAAACAGCATAAATGCCCTTTAAGGTGCCCTTGCAGTGGAGAAAACCTCTCCCCTATATATAACACGTGTTGGCCTCTTAAGGGTCAAATAGTTAATAATTCTCTGTATGTTTTTATTACGGAGCTGTAATAGTAAATGTGAGTTATAATGTATAATATATATAAAAAAAACATTTTAATCTGAATCAAGCATTAATCATGGATTGGCATGGAGGCCAGAAAGATGAGGGCCCGTTCAGGTAAACCTACATCCTGTCAGCCTCCATCCCTCTGTCTATCTATCTATAAGCCGCCAGATGCACCACACTGATGGCCGATGGCAGACAAGTAAAGAGATTCAAGATGGCTGGAGGAAGTTCAGAACAGCTACTAAATGGACCTTGAGGTGAGAAAGTCTAGCCAGCTATTGTTTTAAAGATCAAGAACACATTTTACCTCTTGCTGTTCAGGTGAATGTGATTAAGGAGGACAAAGAGTTAACACAAGGGTTAATGGACGCTGACACAGGCACTGATGTACCAAGGCATTCTTTTTATTGAGGTTGATTACACCAATTTAACAGTGAACTGGTCAAAAGAAGGAGTGGAGGGAGTAAATGAACAAATTATTGAGCATATTGTTCACAGTTAAGGCAAATATATCACACTTTTAGGCTACTTTAGCTCTTTCATGGAAAGAATAATAACAGTGTTCAAGCATTATATACACATCTTGTGTCATAAGCTGACTCAGACCTCCTGTAATGAATGATACTGTAGTTTTTAAATTGCAGGTCACCATGATAGCAGCTCCTGCTCATATACTGTATATGACTTCAGGTTATCAGTGGGATTATAAGGAATACAGATCCCTTTTCAAGTGTCTGTTACTGAGAAAAGGTCAAACATATGATCCTCTCTAAGCTGTGGAAAGTCTGATAAGGGTTTTCAGATTTGGGTTTTGCTTTAAGTGACATTACAAGGGAATGGCAGTAACTCTACAGTAAAATAACAAATAGGTGTATGTTAACACACAAGTGTAAACTACACGTATCAGTCAATATAGAATCAGGTGAATAAATAAAATATACTTAATGGCACTTAATGGAAATACAGATAAATCTTAGGGGATGGAACAGTCGCATAGTCTAAATGATCAATAGGAACTTTAACTGTGTGGATAAATTAAAAGATGTTTCATGAAGGTCATCACAGAAATGTCATTCTGCTACAGAGACTGTGATTTCAACAGAAAAATCTAAATAATTCAGCTTTTCGCATCAGTTACTCATTGATTTTGAGAGTAAACCGATGGCTATGAACATTAAAGATTGTGTTGTGTTTTCTGTTCTCTTGTCAGCAGCAATAAATAATTAATTTTAAAGGTCCAGTGTGTA